GATAGATGAAGGAAGAGACCCCCAATATCACTAAAGTTGGAATGTGTTAAATATCACAGAAGGGAGTAAATGTAATTATTTGTGCCTGCCAAATAAAATCAATCTAGCTCTCAGATGCATTAGAAACTCCAAATTAAAGCACCACAAACAGCATATGTATGTATTAATTATTTATTTTTTGTTGAGACGTAACTGAATGTACATATCTGTAGGGTAACACATTGAAAATCAATACCTGCGTGCAGTATGTGATGCTCAAATCAGGATAATTAGTATATTCAACATTATACAATGTAATCATTTTTTGCAGACCTTTACCAATTTCTCACATACCCTCCCCTCTCCCTCCCACTTTCCCACCTCTGGTAACCTTAGTTCTGTTCTCTCCTTTTGAAAGTTCAACATATTACTGAGATTGTTATATCTTTCCTTCTTTTTTTTAATTAGGTTTTTTTTTTTTTTTTTTTTTTTTTTTTTTTTTTTTTTTTTTTTTTTTTTTTTTTTGCTCCTACTTATGAGTGAGGACATGCCGTATTTCTCTTTCTCTGCCTGGCTTATTTCATTTAACATGATTTTCTCTAATTTCATCCATGTTGCTGCAAATGGCAGATTTTTATTCTTTTTATGGCTGAGTAGTATTCCACTGTGTATTGTGTGTATGTGTGTGTATATATATATACCACATTTTCCTTATCCAGTCAACTGTCAATGGACATTTAGGTTGGTTCCAACTCTTTGCTGTTGTAAATAGAGCTGCAATGAACATGGGAGTGCAGATGTCCCTTCAACATGATGATTTCCATTCCTTTGGGCATATACCCAACAATGGAACTGCTGGATCACATGGCAGTTTTATTTGCAGTTTGAGGAAACTCCATACTGCTTTCCATAATGGCCGCACTAGTTTACAGTCCCACAAACAGTGTAGGAAGGTTCCCCTTTTTTTCTGCATCCTCATCAGCATTTGTTATTCTCTATCTTTTTGATGATAGCCAGTCTAACTGGGGTGAGATGATATCTCAATGTGGTTTTGATTCACATTTCTCTGATGCTGAGTAATGTTGAGCATTTTCTCATGTGTCTGTTGGCCATTAGTATATATTCCTTTCAGAAATGCCTGTTCAGCTCCTTTGCACATGTTTTAATCAGGTTGCTTGTTTTTTATTGTTAAGTTGTTTGAGTTCCTGTTTGTTTGGGATATTAATCCCTTGTTGGATGCCCTAATCCTTTGAAAATAGTTTTCAGTGTCTATAACTAATTAAATAGGCCTCGGCAATTGAACTTCTGTCTTTCAAAGGAGCGAGTGTAAGATTTTTTGAAGTTGTTTAAGTAGACCCAGAACAATACCAATAAAATGTATTTTATAAACTTGATGAGAATGTAATGTTAATAAGAATAATGTACTGTGGGGAGACTCTTGTGACCCAAGCACTAACACAGTGAACAATGGGCAATGAAGCACAGTAAGCAATAAAGACAATTTCTAGATTCCTGCAAGGATAAGGGGTTCACCCTATTTCTGCCAAATGGATTCCCCATTTACTTCTGGGGCACCACAAATTCACTCACTTCTAGCTCATGAAGTTTAAGAAAAGCAAATCTTGCCCCAATTTCCAGGGGCTGCACATGACCTATGCCCAAATCAGTCAATGTGTCACATTCTCATATGTTTCAGGGGTAAGCAAATAGCTCAATTACACCATTGAGTTGTGATGACTCTTTCTGGGATTTCTGGGAAATGGAGTTTCCTGGTTTTATCATTGGACTTGAATTTAAGTGGATATATAGAGACTGAAGGTGGATTGTGGCATGTTGCTATATCATTGAATCTAAGAGTAAAGCCACTAAAGCTAAGGCAGAGCTGGGAGTGGAGTAAAACAAAGTAATAATATCAATACCTGAGCTCAAAATTCAGCTGTGCATAAACCCAGTTCTAGCAAAAGACTATCCGGTTATACGAGCCAATAAGTATTGTTTTTTCAATGTAATTTTTTTTCTTTTTTTCATTGAAACATAATTGATTGTACATATCCACGCTACTACATTGAATATCAATACCTGTGTGCAATATGTGCTCAAATTAGGATAATTAGCATATTCAAAATTATACAATGTAATAATTTTCTGTGGCCCTTTACCAAATATCCTTTAGATTAAGCTATATGGTGTCACGTTTTCTATCTTCATAAAGTGTTGGGCTCTTGTTAATACAGAGGAGTCTGCAAAGCCAATTTTTGATTTCCAGAGTTTCTACAGTCAAAAAGCTGCATATAACTTTGTTTTTTCTATTCTGTAAGTTACATAACAAATTCTTGCTGGATCATCTACTTTGATCCTTCTACAAAGAAATTCTACAGAAGTTCTACTCTTTGCTCTAACCAGTAGTCACCTATTTTGGATCAGCATACTATATCCAAGAAGTTTAAGTCCCAAGCACATGAATGAAACATGAAGAAAACTACACCAAAGTGTATCATAATCAAATTGCCCAAAATCAATAACAAAGAGAAAATCTTAAAATCAGCCAAGGAAAAAAAGAGAAGCTAAATAAAGAACACAGATAAGAATGACGTTTGATTTGTTAAAACAGCATTTCTATGGTGCTGAAAGAAAAAAAAAATACAAAGTTGTCAGCTAAGGATTGTATACCCAACAAAAATATATTCTTCAAAAAGGAAGGTGGAATTATGACTTTTTCATATACACAAAGCTGAAAGTATTCATCACTAGCAGAACCATCTTATAGGATATGTTAAAGGAAGTCTTTCAAGGGGAAGAAAAATAAAACAGATGGAAATATGAATCTACATAAGGAATAAAGATCACCAGAAATAGCAACTACATGGGTAAATATATGAGATTTTTTCTCATTTTTTAAAACTTTTTATTAAAGAAGATATGCGAAACAAGCACATGAAAAGATAGTCAACACTATTAGTCATCAGAGGGACGAAAATTAAATTCATGAGGAGAAGCCACCTATATACTTATTATAATGACTTTACTTTTAAAAAATGACTATACCAAGTTTTGACAAGGATGTGGAAGAATGAGACTACCTATATACCTCTACTCAAAATGTAAAATTGTAGAATCACTTTGGAAACAGTTTTGCAGTTTGCAGATATGTTACACATATACTCACTGTGTGATCTAGCTATTCTACACCTAGCTATTTACCTAAAAGAAATGAAAGCATGCTTCCATGCACAGACTTGAACACGAATGTTCATAACAGCTTTTTTCATAATTCCCAAATATCCATCAACAGGTGAGTGGATAAACCAACTGTGGCATATCTATATGGTGGAATATTACTGAGCCAAAAAAAAAAAAAAAAGGAATGAACTATTGATACACATTAGAACACTGATGGAATCTCAAAATAATTATGCTGAGTAAGAGGAGCCAAGCCAAAAACCACTTATATAAATTACTTTATTTCTTTAAAATTCTAGAAAATATAAACTATTATGACAGAAAGTGGGTTAGTGGTTATCTGGGGACAGAGTGTGATGGAGGATGGATAGAGATGAAAGAAAGGTCTACAAAGGGAAATGTGAAAATTTTCAGTGGTACTTATTTTCATTATCTTTATCATGGTGATGGTTTCATGGATGTGTGTGTATATATATGTCAAACTGATCAAATAGTACAGTTTAATATGCACAGATTATTGTACATCAATTATACCTCAATAAAGCTATTTTTAAATTTTAAAAAAAATAAAGAGATACATTTGGCTAACTTCCATATATGTATATAATATGATCAATGGACCATACTTTTAGATTTATCAGCACAAAGAATTGTGAATTATGAGTATTGCCTCAATTCTATTGCCAGCATGTATACAGATTTTTAGAAGAGTTAAATATTTTCCATGTATAAAAAACCCCACCTATTACCGAATACTTTTCTGAATAACCTTTGTTAAGGTAAGAGGTATATTGAAGATTTAACAGAGTATCATTAAAAGTTTTAACTGCTTCTAGGGTTCCAATTAACTTTCATTTACTTTTTAAAAAGAAATTATTGCTCTGCATGATGATTTTTCCTAGGTTAAAATGAATCAAAATGAAGCATACGAAATTATTTTACAACTGTGACATATACAAGGGTACTTCAAAAAGCTCGTGGAAAATTTTGTATTACCTTTTAATTTTATTTTTTGAGAATGAAATTAATATCTGGTACTACAGTCTTACTAAATATTATATTCCAACAATATCTTGCCTCCTTCAATATCTTCAAAATTTCACGATTATATCTGAAATTCAGCGATTTATTTACCTACATAATAAACCCACTATCGTTAATTTCCCACCTATTTTGTGCTACTGTGCTAGATCCTGGGTTGATACAAGTATAATTCAGACATGATTTTTCAGTCTCAATTATCTCAGAATTTAGTGGAAGTGAGAGTCACGTATACAACAGACGATAACCATATATCGACTGCAATGGTTTTCTTAATAAGTCTATAAAGTTCTATTCGACATAAAGGGACTCCTTTGGATTAATATTGTCTCTATTGTACCCTTTTCAAAATAGAAGTATTTCATTCTGTTAGCCCCCATAAACTAGCAGCAAAATGACTTTTAGTCTTCAGGCACAAGACAGGCACTATTTGATGGAGTGTAAGATGTCAGGTGTGAAGAACGTACTACAACATTTGAGTGCGTGATTGCAGGGAAATCCTCTGAGCAGGAAAAGAACAAAAGAGAAAGACCAGATGTCCAGAGAAAATGAAGAAGGAGAGAACAAAAGTCTTTCTTTAAGGAGAAAGGAATAAAATTAAAGAGGAAACAAATCTTGCATACACTTCACAAGTTTTCCTAAAGCCATTTTTTTGTTTTCAAGTAATATAATTTGAATCATAAATCAACTAAATCTAGTTTTTATTTAAGTTTTAAAATTACTGACAAAAAATTTTCATGTTGTAAAATATTCTTCCTAAATTTGTAGGAAGTTTTACTGATTTTAAAATTATTTCTTACTTCTAAATATGAACTTTTTGCTGAAAGCTTATTACTATATGTAGACAGGGATATTTTCAAAACATTACTCATCAAGGTAAAAATAATTTACTTACAATTATCTGATATTTTTGAAGAGAAATATTCCAAAAGACTTAAAATACTTGTTTCCCTTAATTCTAGCTGTTCTTCTGATTTGTCCACGGGTAAAATATATTTTAGTGAACTTTTACAGTCACAGAAACCAATAAGAGCAGTTTTTCTCAAATCAGAAGTGGCTGCATACAAGCAGATTTCTGTAAGAATTGTTGTATATAGGTAGACTATATTCCAGGCCCAGGAAAAGTCATTTACCTTGCAGGCTTCTTCCTTAAATGAGAAAATATGTATTTAGATAATCAAAGTACATTCTGTCATAACTAAGAACTACATAATGTACTTATAATAAGAAATACCTTCAAATGTTATGGAGTTGGTAAAAAGACATAATAAGCTATTTCTAAATATATTTATTAAAAAACAGGTTTTCCATAAGTAGATGGCATAAAATGATGTTCAAGAATGGAAATTATAAATAGCTAATAAGTATATAAAGAACAACTTTTCAATTTTTCTTAGTAATCAATGAAATGTAAATTAGTGCAATGAGATACTATTTTCCATATTATATTGGAAAAGAATCTTTTCAATATAAAGTCCAATTTTAATGTGCGGCACTTTGATATATTGTTTACAGGAATGCAAGAAAATTATATTTTCTGGAGAAGAATTTGAACACTTTTCCCAATAACCTTAAAAGAAAGTTCATAGTCTTTCACTTAGTAATTTACTATTGTTAATCTATTCTAAAGAAATAGTCAGAAGAAATACAGGTAAAGATTTTGTGTATGAGTACACCAGTTCAACATTACTTGTAATTACTTGTGAACGACAGAAACAAATTTAATGTTCAACAATAGAGAAATGGCTAAATTAATTATCTCACCCCATTAAATATAAATTTTAATAATATGTAATCACAATAAAAATATTTGTGATAAATAGTAAATTTAATGGCAAATGTGTATTTATTTTTATATTTAATTAAAATTATTATTAAAAAGTTATGTACATTAATATATGATGTATTATGATATGCAATTTAAATTGTGGCAAAAATAAAATAAATTTTAATTCAGGTCTCTATTCACATCGAAATTAGCAATGCTGTTACCTGATTCTGAACAGACATAATGCTTAAAAGAAAATCTTTCACTAGGTTCATTAAAGCATTCAAGCAGGCCATGTTTAATTTCGCAGCCTCCCCAAGAACCAACAGAGCCAGTGCTGAATCCAACCTGAAAATTTTATGAACAAAATGACAAAGACATTAGTGGAAAACAATAATAATCAATTTTTAATGAAAAATGTAGGAGGTCAGAGGAAATGAGTATCAGGATTACCAGATACATTTATTTTCAATAAAGATTGGTATTGGTTGGCAATGATTATGATAAAAGTCTACAGGAAAGAGCCACACTCTGGCAAGAGGTTTGAGTTCAGAGTAATGCTGTGACAAAACTCTGAGAGTAATAAATACTACAAATGATCACATTTCTTTACGGATCGTGTATGCCAAACAATTGAAGGCTCTGGTTCTACAGCGTGCCTTTAAACCTTCACGACAGGTTCTGATTTTTTAACTTCTTGCATCTGATTCCGTGGGGTGAATTTCAAGACAGCATTTTCTTCTCAAAATAAGAAGAAATTTAAAATGCTTTTCCTAAATACTCCAAAAGTTCAGCATTATTTGATTTTACAAAAAGTGCAATTTCTAAAAATAAAATTTATATTTCACATGAAGAAAAACTGTCAAGAATTATTTTTCAAAATATTTATACGATACCTAGGAAATCAGACAAGAATTTATTAGTCATAAATGTATATATATATTCTGAAAGATTCAAGATGTTATACATTTAGTAGTATTTTTATCCAACTGAAAAAGACAGTTTAAGAGAACTAATAGGAATGCAAATATAAAATTACTTCTGTCTAGAGCTGTTTACTACCTTTATTTATAGGCCATTAATAAATTTAGAAGTTAGTATATTTTACAAGTATATTAGAGTTTCACAACTATGATATTTCAGGCCAGTAAGTTCAAGTTCATCATAATTTTCAAAAGGAAACTCTTTTGATCGTGATAAATAAAGACAATTCTTTATATTGAATAGGGCTTTACAGATCCCAGTGTGCTTTCAAATAAACTGTCTCATTTGATTTGAACGACAACTTTGGACACACATAAGACCTTTCAAAACCTTTTTTTTAATTTTAGAAAATTGAGACATAAATAGGTCTGGGAGATTTGTCCAAGTTCACTTGTTAAGCCAGATTGACTGTACCTGAAGTCTTCACCCACCTATGAGTACTTTCTATTTTGCAATTCTGCTTTTCTAAACTACTATTTAAGTACCTTGATATTAACCTTAGTGTGGCAGATGCTGCCTGTTGCTCATCTAGTATCATTTGTCTCCTTCTTCCTTTCTAACAGAACCTCAATTTTGTTCACAATGGCAAAATGCTGAGTTAAGTTTGCCTTCTCAAGATGGAACGCTCTGTATCTTTTTTTTTTTTTTTTTTTTTTAAGGGAATCGTAACTCTCAGCACGGTGTGGTCTGCACCATGCTCAGCCATTTACTTATACCTATACAGGATCCGAACCCGCAGCCTCAGCAGTTAGAGCCACGAGGCCGGCCCTGGAATGTTCTGTACCTTGATTGGAGTAGTGATTACATAAGTGTATTGTATTTGTCAGAAGTCATAGAGCTGTGTACATAAGATGTGTGAATTTTATTGTTTCTAATGTAGATTTGGCTAATGAGCTGTAAATGGTAGCATATTATAAAAAGGCATCCAGGTATGTCATTCTTTTTCAGAAAAAAATTTAAATTTAGCTAATAGGTGTTTTTTCTCTTTTGCTCATTCTCTTCCTCCTGCTTGAAATGCATACATGATACCAGAAGGCAGAACAGCCATCATGCAACAATGAAAACTACGGTCACATGCTAGGGATGACAGAAAAGTAAGCTAGAAGGACTAGGTCTTGAGGATTTCCTTAAGCATCCACAACAGCACTGCACTGCTTGTTGTTTACAATAAATAAATCCCTATTTAGTTATGTAATTGTCGTCAGGTTTCTGCCACATACAAAAGACCAAATCCTGACTGATACACTTAACATGATATTTATGAACACGAACATTAGAGTCAGAAAAACTGAGATGGAATCTTAGCAACATCTACAGATTTTAAGAGAGAATAAAAAAAAAAAAGAAGCGGCAGACTAATGGATACAAAACTATGCCATCTACCCTAAGTGAATCAAGTGAATCACTGTGCAGCATATGCATGTAGCAAAACAGCACACTGTATCCCACAAAATAAAATACAGATAACAGTTGAAAACAAACAAACTGCAGACATAGAAGCCTATTACCAGAAAAAATGTACATTATATTTTCAATAGAAAAATAGTGATAAATGTTATGTCCAGCCAAGGGTTGTATTTAATCAAGAGCTTACCCAATAAAATAGGTAATCTGTGTGCAGACTTAGAGATTTATTAAGCCAACCAAGAAATTAATACTCATAGTATGTAACAGTTTAGAAAAGGGAAAACCTAGCATTAAATGTTTGCGAGTGAGTGGAAAAAAACAGGCAAATCTCAATATGTGAAAATAATTTCATAAGCATAATACATATTAAATGCAAATATGTAACTAATTTTTAAGGAGAAGATAGAGCATTTTTTTATCAACTTTTTTTTCCATTTGAAAAATAATTGACCATACAAATTTATGGGGCACAGAGTTGACTATTAGTATTTGTGTACAATATGTGATGATCAAATCAGTATTATTAGCATGTTCATCATTACAAATCATAATCGTTCTTTGTGTCCATTACCCAATTTCTCTGTAACCTCCCTTCCCCTTCCCCTTTGCCACTTCTAGTGACCATAGATCTGTTCTCTCCTTCTGAAAGTGCAACATATTATTGTAGCTGTTTCTTTCTTCCTTTCTTCCTTTTTTCCTTCCTTCCTTCCTTTCTTTTCTTTTCATTCTTAGCTCCCACTTATAAATGAGAACATGTGGTATTTCTCTTTCTGTGCCTCGCTTATTTCATTTAAGATAATTTTCTTCAGGCTCATCCATGTTGCTGCAAATGGCAGAATCGCATTCTTTTTTATGACTGAGTAGTATTCCATTGTGTATATATACCACAGTTTCCTTATCCAGTTGTCTGTCAATGGACATTCGGATTGGTTCCATATTAGAGCATTTTAAATACTTATTTCACTATGATGTTATCAGAAACTCAAAATTATATGAACAAACATATTAGGAAGGAGAGGATTAATATAAACAAATTAGTCTCAGTCTTCATTGCATATTGACAAGAGGGCAGAAGGCATTTCATTATTAATTTTGACTATTAGAAAAACCAGTTTAAAGAAGATATTAATTTTGCCATTGCCTGATTTTTGATACTCAGAAGAGTTGGATTATGTGAAAATCTAGTCTTTAGCAAGTGTGCTAAAAGGGTTCTGATTACAGGATTTCATCCTTGGTACTCCAGGGAAGCCAGTGGGGGAGAATAAAGGGAAGGAGCATCAGACAGCAAGGACTGCCATTTCATCAAGAAAAGCACAGGCGGGTCATTAACTGTTTCCTTCCACCCAGTCTCATCAGCTTCTTCTGGCTGTTTGGCTGGTTGGTCGTAATTAATCCCAGTACCAGTCATCATTTTCCTCCTTCTTATTTTTTCAATATTACGGCAAGTTATGAGACATTATTAGGGCTGCAACCCCTGTGCCATGTAAAAACAGTTACTATTAAATAATTTTAAGCTGGAGAGTGATATAATCTCATTTACGTTATAACCCTGGCTGCAGAGCATATGACAGATTACTGTTCAGAAAGACTTAAGACAAGGAAATCAATTGAGAAGCTCCAATAGTCATGCAAAATAAGGGTGCTGGAGAGTGATATAATCTCATTTACGTTATAACCCTGGCTGCAGAGCATATGACAGATTATTGTTCAGAAAGACTTAAGACAAGGAAATCAATTGAGAAGCTCCAATAGTCATGCAAAATAAGGGCCCAAACCAAGATTGTGACAGTGGGAAGAGACAGCAAGGGAACAGTTCTGAAGTGTACTTAATGTATATCCATCACAGTCGGGTACTGGATCAGATGGGGAAGGTGAGGCAGAGTAGTTGAGGTGTCCAATTTGATAAACGTGAGGAGAGGACATGAAGATGTGTATGTACTGAGGTAGAAAGTCAATAGGCAGGAATCTGACTGGGGAAAAATTAACTCGTATCTGAACTAGCAGGACATGAGGTATCTACAGGAAAATTAGAATGTAAGAGGTGCTTTCATTTACTTATCTCATTTAAATCTCTTAAAAACTCTTTGAGGTGGCTATTATCTATATATAACTGCTAAACAGACTCTGGTCCACTGGGGTTAAGTGACTCATTTAAAATTAGACTAGTAGAAAAGATAGGACTAAAACTCAGGTCTTCTGATTCGAGGTTGTTTTTTCACTGCACAAAAATGTAGCAATGCATAAATTGTATATTTACCCTTGATACAAATTAAATGGTTATAATTAGCTAAGAGGATCAAAGGATAAATAAGACATCCAATAAATGAATCAAGAGGAATCAAGGAAATGAATGAGTGAGAACCTACAATGACATCTCAGCTCTTGAAGTATGAAGGAGGATTATTGACACACATTTTTATTTGAATGGTTATGGTTACTGCTATATGAACGTTATAATTATGAGGGTCAGGGACATAGACAATGTGGATATCAGTGATCTAGGTGGAAGCTAAAGGCCTTGCTACCAATACAAAGAAGTTGATTCTTTGATTCATTTCAATGTAGACACAAATATAATGCATCGTAAAAACACTTGCCATGTCAAGATAGTTTTAAATTGTCAGGCTTTTCTAGAATATACTCATGAAGCACATTAATTTAGCTATTTTGCTTTGGGAGATATAATTTTATATTTTATACCGCTCTACTGAAATGCCATATTACATCTCTCAGGAGTCTTCATTGGCTAATAATTCAATTATAAACACAATTCATTATTTTCGTGTAAGATTAGAAAGCCTTTTGCGTTGGCTTGAGCTATCTCCACAGAGGAAATGGCACAGTTTACAAAAGGCCAAACCACAGGATGGAGCATTGAGAGCATAAAGCATCATATAAAATTCAACCATATCTCATGGAAATCTGCTTTCCAGAGAGCTGCTTATCTCCAGCTCTGG